TAGTTATTTCTGTGAAGCATTAATGGCTTTTTCATGGCTAGAAAGAACACATACATAGAACACCGCATATAGAGGTTTTGAACAATTTGACAAAAAATTAGCAGGTAACCTCTAGATCGCTCAAACTGTTAAAAATAAAGTTTGTGTTGTGAAAATTTCAAAAAAAGGCTTCTTCACATAAATACAAGATTTATTTAAATTTTGTAAGCCTTACTATCCATTTCAACCAAATCATTGTTTTGGCCCTTCGCTTCCAATTGGAGTGCTTGGGGTAGCCTAGCCATGAATCTGACTCAATATATTTTTTATTGTGTTCAGTTTTTTCTATAATTTCTGAACATAAAAAATGTTGTTAACAAGATCGCGATAAGAACACTGTAAGATCCCTTTAGCCACGCATTAATGTTGGAAATGGTGTAGTAAGAGGGAATTCTACAAGTAAAATGAAGGGAGCGGGGATGAATCCCTAAAAAGTACCCGACTGGTTTCTTAAATAAAAAAAATAAAAGTTCCCGAAAACTAAAATTCACCCAACTGAATTATGTGACCCGACTGCCCGAGTATATTCGTCAAAAAAACGATTATAATTTGAAAATCACTTTCTTTGGGAGGTGGGGTTGAAACACCCCTCCCACACACTAATCCCCCCCCCCCCTTATTTCGCCTTTGGGTGTAGCATAGTATAATATGAAAAGTCATTAAAGTTTATGCAAAAACGGGTATACGCGAGAAAAATTATAGTATTGTCGTGCATTCTAGGCGCGACCTTAATTTACATCTCATTCTTTCTTTTTTTTCTATATCATCAATGCAGAGAAATCGCGTTGGTGATATACACTTTAATCGTCCTAAATCACCAAACCCAAGGTGAATTGCACAAAGAAAAGAACAAACACGATTGGTTTGGTGACAAGCTAATCACGTTTGGATTTTTAGATAAACAGCCTTCCTTATTCTAGATTTTAAAACTGCTTTGAGTTTGCAAACTCAAAGCAGTCAATCAATTTTCAGAAAACGTTTCTTTACGCGTATCATCTTCTCAATTGATGTCATCTAAGAATGAGCATTCACCGACGTGTAGTTTGCTATCATGGTGGGAGCTATTTTCTACATATGTGTGAGCGTTCTTGAGACATGGGAGTAAGTTAGTTAGGAAGTAAGTCAAAAGATTGCTGAGAAGTTTCCTAAAATTTTCCGAACCTATAATTCAGAATTTATCATATTAATGAGAACAATTTTTGTCATATCAAAAAGAAACATCCTCCAGAGTCATGTGTTGTGGTATTATGCATTTTATATAATTGTGATTTCATAATACTGCTCTAGATTTTTCAAGACTGACACACTCACTGTCGCGTTAATATATACTTGTCTAAAGCCTCAGAGCTGCGCGCTTCCCGTGTTTGTTGTTTGTTGTCTCGGCATCAGCTTTTTTTAGACATTTTTGTTGTTAAACCATATTATATATTTCTAGATTCCTAAATCCTATTGTCCGTCTATTATCTATTGCAACGCGAAGCGTCTTCATCGACGACGTTTTAATTAATTGATGAGAAAACAAGTGTTAATATTGTGTTTAAGTTGTTAAAATCAAATGAAAAAATAAAGATAATTTGACAGTTTATATCCAATTCACACCGACAATAAAACAAGTTTCAACAATAGTATTTTAAACACGTAATATTTTTTTACTCTCATTAAGTTTAGAAATGATTTATTTGCGCAAAAAGCTATATAAATAAGACAACCTTACAATCTTGTTTTAATAAAACACGATAAAACGCAGTTTAGCAGTTTATCTAAGTGCAGGTTTGGTGGAAATGGGTATTATGTATCACCGGCCTCGCGACCTTAAATTTAACAAAATTTTGCAATTTCTTTTTGGCCTCTCTATCAAAACAGCTTCTATCTCCCTTAATTCTATGCATAGAATGTATATTTTCAGAATCCGTAGATAGTTAACTTAAAGCGTCTTACATATGTAAGACAACATATGTACATAGACATTTCCTTTCTTAACAATTTTAAACCTTTTCGCAATTGAATGAAACGTTACATAATGTTTATATCAGGCCGTGTGAATAAAAAAAGCAAATGTTTTTAGTCTGTAATTGGTCAGCTTTACGTGAATAAAAACTTTAGGAATTTTCATTCTCGTAAAGCTGAGCAATTACTCAGATTTTTTGGAGTAAATTGCTTACTTTTAGAGTAAGTGGCTTACATTTACGTTAATAAAAATTTGAGCAATTTTGCTCAATTTTTATTTGCCAATTTTGACTCATTTCATACATACGGATTTAAATGTATTTAAATAATCTGTTCTTATCGCTCTTTTATTCAATTTCTACACAATTTTACCTAATAAAGTGTCTATAGAATGTTATTAGATACTAACCAACATCCTACAATTGAATGGGTTTTAAACCATTTGTTTTTATTGATTGCAAAAACAAAAATTTAAAAAGGTAAAATAATCTAAATGTATAAAGTACCATTTCAAAAGGAAATTCATTTTGAATTGCCGAATATGGGGTGTTCATATGGATAAAAATTATTTCGCCGATCCGGGATAGAAAAACTTCCGAGATCTCGCCTCTCGTTTAAATCTCATATAATTTTAACATAGCGTTCATATGTAAAAATTATTCAACCCACCTATAAGAAATCTTGCCTTTGAAATACCGTGATCCCGGTAATGAATTTGTAACAAAATTTAAATTTTGTTAAAAAGTCAAAATTTAAACTTTGTTTAAATCAAAAGAGGTGGAATAACAAATCTACCCTTGTTGTAGATACTGTAAAAGATTCCCCAGAAGTCACGAGTACCTAGTTTTTGAAATAAAATACGAGATTTCGTATTTCAACTCAAAAATTTAATTTGAGAATGGTCGGTTTTGGAATTAGACAAACCCTGATCAAAATCACCTAAGGTTGAATGTAGAGAAACTGAGCACTGACTAGGATCAGAAACAAGACATAAGTGGAGTAGAAAAGGTTAATGATTCGGATTGTCTGGAAAGTGAGATGGCAAAGGCAAAGGTTGTGAGCCTTAACACCTGCAGAGTCAATCACTCTAGAGCCAAGCCATTCAGTGTGATGAGCATTAAAGTCACCAAACAACAACAATATTGGCTGAAGGATAAAGAGAGAGGCCCTGGTAATTTGAACAGAAATAACATCGAAAGGTATGCAGTCTGGAGATGAAGGAGAGCGGTATAGAATGATGCTATATAATGGCGATAGAGTGAAGTGGTGCTAAACAAAAGCACATAAAAAAATAGCTTGTGGATTTAAACCTAGTTTCCCTGCAAATAGGTGAATTCTTAAAAATGTATATGTCCAGACCAAGCATGTGACTATTGGAGTCATTACGAGTTAAAGGAAGATAACCATCAACACTAACAGTAGCGGCCGTGGCGCGATAGCGTTAGCTTTATAAGCAAAAGATCCAGGTTCGAAACGAGCTTTGGACATATTTTCACGTCACGGTAAGGAAGGAGGCGTGAACTTCCTGGTTATATGCACTTCCGCGGTGGTCTGTGACAAGACCGTTAGGTCTTCTTGGGGCACCTAAATACAAAAAAAAAAAACAAAAAAAAAACACCTAAATAATTAAAAAAAAAAAAAAACAGCACTAAGATCATAAGATGAGACAGCTGAACTCAAATTAGTCTTACGAAGAGCAAGTAGGTCTGGTAAACTTTGCAAGAGATAAGACTTAACAGAAGAGAAGTTACTTTAAAGGCCACGAATATTTGTGAATGTTAAATTTAAATTTTTTCGTTATTTATAAATTGTTTATGATATTTATTTCGTAAACATAAAATATTATAAAAATTTTAATATGCATATAGTAAAAGTTAAAAGTTATCAAATAATTTTTTGTAAATCGAAAGTTTTTATCAAATTTCTATTTTTAGTTTTTAATTTCAAATGATTACAGTAAACTCTTGATACCTCGAACTCTCAGGGGAACCGGAAAAAATTTCTCTCAGGGGACCGGAAAAAAAAGTTCTAGAAATCAAGAGTACAAGATATCAAGAGGATTTTAGCTCTCACAAGTGTGCAAGGAATCAGAAATAAAGTTACACAAATAAAGATACACAAAAATTTACAGAAATAAAGATACACAAAAGTTCGAGATATCGATAGTCAACTGTATTTGTAAACTAACATCGTGTGACCTTAAAAATATTCCGCTTTAGTGAAGTTTTTTCTCCATATGATCACAGGTTAAAATGCATATACATATGTGAAGTACTACCTATATATATGAGTATTTCGGTTACTGAGTACTTCGGTTAGGCGGGATGTTTTTTCTCCATGTGATCAGCCCCGAAGATTTAGTAATTGTGTGTGTGTGTGTGTGTGAAAGAAGGGGGGTGGGGAGAGGGGTATGGAAGGGGGTGTGTCGCATCTACAACCACCCTAATGATGCCTGTTTCTGTTGCTTATGATACATCTTATTTAAACTCCTCCACAGCTTAAAGTCCGGATTATAATTATTTTTCACAGTCATATTAAAATGTTTTCCAGGAATTTCTTTATTAATTTCTAAATTATTTAATAATAATAAATAATTTAGAAATTAATAAAAGTTCTTATATTAAAAATATGTTCTTAACTGAATTTTGTTTTTCTACTTGTTATAAAATGGCATCAATGGTTGTAATTTAAAAAAACATGATTACTCTGACCCCTCTTACTTAAGCCCAATACATTTTTACTATTATTAGTAAAGTCTTAAAATCTGTAATTAACAAACTTCTAATATCTCATCTTTAGTTTACTACTTATTTTCTGACCACATTTCAGTCTTCGAATTCTATTGTTGATTTGTTATTTGTTAAAACAGAAAAACTTATTCCTGCATTAGATAGTAGCAGTGAAACAAGGACCTGAAATAATATTTCAGTACTTTCAATAATGTTTTTTAGGTTGGTCTTTTTCCATATATATTTTTTTATTAGCGTGTTTAAATTTATCACTATCATTTTCAGGCTCGTAGGAAAAGATGGTTTATTGTAACTACATCATCTTTAAAGTACTATAGCCCAGGAGCTGTTATTAAGGTTAGTTAACATAAAAGACAAATTATATTACTTTTAATAAAAGTTTAGTAAAGTTTACATTATTTCATCTTTTATTCTTTTTATAATATAAACTACTTTTTTATATTTAAATAAACAATTTTAATGTCACCACTTTTGTAACTTTTATATAATTTAATAATTTGTCAGATTTATTGACATAAAATGCTTATTTAAAGTAAATATTAATCCTTTAAAAAATAATAGAGTTATAACATTAAAATGTTATGTCAGAAGCCATGGTATATAACTTATGAAGTTTTATTTTTATTGTAATTGTTTACAAGAAAATCTGTATTCTTTTTAAATCCAAATTTCAGTTCTCCACCATTAAGTGGTTCAACCTTTTTTATAAGTTTGTATTAAATATCAAGCTGTTTTCATAGATTGATATCTGAACTGACCATGATATGTTTACTACATTTTGCTTTAAGTAATACTTATTTTGTTATGTTCTGTTATATATAATTTTTAGAATGTTTATTTTTAGGAATTGGATCTGCTTGGAACAATCGCTTTGACAGAAGTATGTTCGTTTGTAATTTTTGTAGTTTTTTTCTTATTTATGGTAAAAAAAATTATCATTTTATTGGTTAAAATTATAAATAAAGTTATAAACATGTTTTTATTTTGTAATATTTTTAAAACATCTTTTATAAAAATGCAATTGCAAAGTTGGGTCAAGCTTGTTGAGGATTCAAATTTTTTGGTGAGAATTACAACTAATTCGTTAAAAGGAAAATCAAATTAAAATAATACTTTAAGCTGAAGATATATTGCACCACAACTAGCATTAGTCTGTGCAACATGGTTTATGCAATCTTTTTTTTCTGTTTCCTTCTTATCTTTAAATTTTGCAGGGGAATTGAAGCGTAACAATGTGAATGGAGAATTTTTATTTTGTGACAAAGTAACCAATTGAGAAGAAGCTATTTTACAATAAAAATAAAATAAATGATGTTATTTAGCGATGTGCCAATGATGTTATTGTAATTGCATTTTCAAGTTTGTTTACTTAATATTTAATTAATAATTAGAGAATGAAACCTTGTTACCTATTGTGACTGATGTAGACGTAACGTAACTTCAAAATGTTATAGTTTTGTACCTTAGATTGCTTAAAACTTTTTTTTTTAGGTAAATATGTTTTTTTTCAGGTTAAAATTTTGAGATAAAATTTTAAAGTCAATTATTATTCATGCAAGGAAATCTTTACTGTTTGATAAGGCCAGGTTTGGATGAAAAAGTCAGGCGGTTTGTTTGAAGTTACCATGGGTGCGTTTGATGGTGCGGAGATATGTGAGTTTGTTGGGATATTCATTCTTTTTCAAATTTCACATTTTTATAGTAAACTTTGGCTTATACCGCAATGACGGATTAGCAGTTTTTAAAAAGGCTACTGGTCAGCAAATGGAGAAAATTAAAAAGCATATCACTCACTTATTCAAATGTAACAATCTCAAAATATCTATACAGTGCAACCTCAAAATTGTGAATTACCTCCACGTAACTCTTAACCTCTGCGACCAGTCATACCAACCATACTGCAAACCTGATAATACTTTAAACTACATACATGCTCAATCTAACCACCCTCCTAATATACTAAAACAACTACCGCAAAATGTTGAACTCAGATTGTCCGGAAGTTCTAGCAGTGAAGAGGTGTTTAAAAAATCTGTACCTATTTATAATGAAGCACTACGAAACTCTGGTTATAAACATAATTTGTCTTACCGACCTAACTTGAAACAACAACAAAAGAAAAACCGTACGCGTAAAATAATCTGGTACAACCCTCCCTATAGCAAAAATGTCACCACAAATATAGGAAAAAGCTTTTTAAACTTGATTGTCAAACATTTTCCAATTAACAACAGACCACACAAAATTTTCAACAAAAACACAATAAAAATCAGCTACAGTTGCATGCCAAACATAAAATCAATAATAAATTTACACAAAAAGCACATCTTAAACAAAAATCTAACCATTAATAAAGATAACTGCAACTGCCTTAATAAAAACAATTGTCCTTTACACAATAACTGCTTGACCAACAACATTGTATACCAAGCAACCATCACTTCGAATAACCCTTCAATAAAAAAATCATACATTGGTATTTGTGAAACATCTTTTAAACTGAGATATGCTAACCATTTGAAATCGTTTAATATCCCTAAGTATAGAAACGATACAGAGCTGTTAAAGGAGGTTTGGAACTTAAAAGATAATGATAAAAATCCTGTGATCAATTGGAAAATAATTGTCAATTCGACACAGGCTAAAGGTAGACTTCGTGTAGTCAATGTTTTGACGTCAGATCCCATTGCATTGCTTAATTTGTATTTTAAACAGTTTTTTAATTTCTTGATTTAAAAAGATATATATGGCTGATGAATGCTGCCAGGCATGAAACTCTGAGTACCAACAAAAAGTTGTATTTTTTTCATTTTAATACTAAATAATTATATTAGATCTATTATAAAAATCTTTGTTTTTATAATATTGATCACTTTTAAACGAACACGAGTTTTTTTTTACATTATTATACAAAAAACATTTTACAATATATATATATATATATATATATATATATATATATATATATATATATATATATATATATATATATATATATGTATATATTTATATATATATATATTTATATATATATATATACACGATGATTATAATGATGATGATGATGATTATGATGATGATGATGATGATGATGATGATGATGATGATGATGATAATGATGATGATGATACAATAAAGATGATGATGATGATGATGATGATGATGATGATGATGATGATGATGATGATGATGATATTATTATTATTTTTTTTTTGTTCAGATTATCGCTGTGACATCTTCAAATAAAACAAAGCATGGCTTTGATGTTATTACACCAACCCGTACTTATTATTTGGTGAATACATTTTTTTTTTTTTTTTTAACAAATAAAAATTATTTAATAATTCTGTTTTTGATTTAAAGATTGCTAAGACAGATTCTGAAAGAGACGATTGGATAATTACATTGCAAAAAGCTTATCAGTCTAAAAGGTGTGAAATTTCTTTAATCTCAAGCTTCATATATTAACAAAAAAACGTTTTATTTTTTACAATAACCAGTAGGTGATGTATTTGATGTTTAAAAAACATTTAGAAATGTTAATTTTGTTTTTCAATAAAGTTTTGCAAAAACACTAAACATTTTATAAAATATATAAAATAATGACTGGGATTTCCTTAGACAAATTCCATGAGAACTTGATTCAGAAAGTTGTATGACGTTTGACATTTATAGTAGTAATCCACATAATCTTGACATAAAAGTCCTAAAGTTTTGGGTAAAATACTATAAAGATAGTTGAAAGATTTGCAATTGAGTTTATAAATTAATCAGCATACTTTAAATGGCAATAATTTCATATTTTATATGCAATTGTTTTAGCTAGAGACAGGTACAGCCATGGGTGCAGGTCTTGCACCTGATAATGCATGCCTTGCTATCACTTTTTAGAAAGTTTTTTTCTAAAATATTATCCTAGTACTTAATTAAACAAAAAGTAAGTCTTGAAAAATATTTTAGTTTAGATATTGATAATAGTTGCATAATTTGGCCCAATGTCTTGACATTTATAAATTTGAAAATTCTTCTCGATTAAATGACCCAATTGGTCTTACAATTGATTTTGTTACAGTTTTTCCTAAAAATGATAATGTCTATATTGAAATTAACTTCTTTAGATAATAGTTATAATTAAAAGCAATAAAAAAAGTTAAAGTATATAAAAGCATGGTGCCCATACATTAAAAGTGATATTATTGAACTTGTAAAAGTTAAATGTTACACCAATAAATGGATATCCCAGATTCAAAAACAATGTTATGAAGTAAGAATTAAAATACTTGGCTTAAGCACACTGGAAAAAAGACATAAAAGAGTCAACTTAATTCAAATGTATAAACTAATTCAAAAAGTAAATAATGTAGAACTAGATTGTAACATTTTTGCTTCATATTTGCCCAACACAAGGGGCTATAATTTCAAAATCAGAAGAGAAATAGTTAAAAACTGCAATATTCGTCATCAATTTTTAACTAATTGAGTCTCATCAATGTGGAACAAACTACCAGATTTTATCATCAAAAGTGAAAGCTTAAACTTATTCAAAACTCGCATTGATAAATATCTAGAGCTATATGATTTGTAATTTATAATTTAATTTGTTTACCTAGAATAACTACACAATGTATGTGCTGTCAAAAGGAAATTAATTACACTTGTAGTTTTCAAACTACTACAGCTTTCTATTATATTTATATTATATCAATAGACATATTTATGAATAATGTCATGATAATTTAACCTCAACAGTAGAGTGTGCCAAAAAAACTTTTTTTTTCTGAAAAAAATGCGCAATCTAGAACTTAGTTACTAGATCTATTATTTCCAGATATAAAGGTCTAAGTACTTGGTGTAAAACTTCTTTTTTTAAATAAACCTAAAAAAAAACTTGTAATTAATAAGATAATCTCTTTCTGTCAAGCATTATTATATAAAAAATTATGTGCTGTAAAATGTATGTTACTTATGTCAAAGAATTATAGACAGAAAGGTTGACAAACCATCTCTGATGACCAACTAAATCCGATAGTGTTGTAGACGGTGTGATTACAGGCATTTTAGGTTTGCCCTACATGAACTCCTTAGGAATTGAAAACTTTAAGAGTTTTTGTAGTATCCTCATCTTCTCATCTTTTTCAACATCTTCATCAGACATTACATGTACAATGGATGATGACTGGATGATGACTGTTAATTTAACAATTCTATAAAAATCTTAATTGACATCTTTTTGTAAGTGAAACAAATCTTTTACTTTAAAGTATCTTCTGATAAACGAGAATTGTTATTTATTAATATTTATGTTATAAGTATTATATTATATTTTTATTAATGTTTAATATTTATTCAATACTGAATAAATATTAGATAAAATATTTATTCAGTATTGAATATCTAATATTTGTTCAGTATTGGCTCTTTAACAACCACCTATTAATTAAGAAGACTTTTTTATATATTGTAGTAACTAACAAAAAGATTGTTTAAATGCAAAGATATTTAGTTTAAAACTTACAAGATTTACCTTCAAAAAGTAGATAAGAGGCATCTATGAAACTAAAGAAACTATTTGGAAAACAAAAAACCACATTACATGTAATAGTGAAAATGTTGTTTATTACCTAAAATTTTTATGATGAAGTAAATAAGCTATATACTGGTAATACTAACAGGGTTGCAAAAAAAACGTTTTTTGAAAAAAAAAAAAAAAAAAAACATAGTTTTTTTGCTTTAAATTAGATTTTTACTAAAAAATGCATATTTAGTTATCCTTTTAAATTAAAAAAAGCATAACATATTTTATTTGAGTAAACTATATTCTTTATCAATATTATTGTTATATTTCATCAAAATTATTCAATATATCATTGTTTAATGTTCTATATATAAATACAAGCTTTGCTGCTTTTTCTACCCCAAGTTGGTTTCTTAACTTAAAATGAACAAGACCTTAGAAGCTGGTGCATTTAATAAACCTTCAATATCCATTATGTTATAGTAGATTTGGTTTTTAATTTGAATAATATTGGTAACAAATTCTTGAACTCTTTATCTGCGAAATTCATGGCAGCTTCATTTTCATTTTCAGAAAGATTAGATCCAAAATATCTAGGATTTTGTGTTTGCCAGGAAATGAGCATCACTCACATCAAGGTGTCTAGATTCATTTTTTTTTTTTTTTTTCGTTTGATAAAAATGATAAACTGTTCATCAAATCTTTAAAAATTAAGTGACACTGTTTTTTTAAAAAAAAACAGTGTCACTTATTTTTGTTTGATCTATTTGCAACTTATCTAGAGCTACTGCAATTGGTTTCAATATTTTCAATAAATCTTCTGTGTTTCACTTTATCTGTATAGCACTTACGTTTTTACCAATCATGGGATCCAAGTCTATATTTTTTTCAAACATTGTGAAAATAATGCTATAGTTGTTGACATATTTTTCAAGTGAATCACATACAGAGTTACAGTGAGTTTCAATAGAAAGTGGCAATTTTGTCCCTCCGCTTAATTTATAAATTGCTCCAGCTTGACGATTATTTCTTATATATTTTATTATTTGTGTAACATGCTTGCTCACATTTTCAATGTTAAAATTGTTTGCTAAAAGATTCAGCATATGACCAGCACACCCATAAGTATGATAATATCTTTTTTAGATGACAATACTTGTCTCATTGATTTCATATTAGCTGCATTGTCAGTCACAAAGCTTTTTACTGTGCATCCAAATTTACTTCTGATAAAATTTATTGCTTCTCTTGCTAATTGTGTAAGATATTCACCAGTATAGGAATGACTAGAAGTGTTGATTGTTTCTACTAAAATGGTAATTTAATTGGTAATTAGATACAAACTATAGGGTCATTATGTACATTACTCCAGCCATCTAAAGACATGGCTACAATTTTCCCATTCAATACATTACAATTTCAATTTCTTCTGAGTAAACCCTATACAATATTTCTCCTCCAATTTGAGTTCTATTAGGTAGATGTATCCCGGATAAATTGAAAAAAAAAAAAAAAAATCATGGAATTAAAATCTATATTGAAGATTAGTTATATTTGTGAACATAACCCTGCCTTAGTTTCCTGTTGTAAGTTCAAATCTTTTTAAAAAAAACATTAGTTTGGTTTAAATCAACATTTTTTAAATTGGTTTAAACCATGGTTTAAACTATTTGATAAAACCATGCAACCCTGAATACTAATAACTTAAGATTTCGTATAAACAGACTTTCTAGTTGGAAATCTATCAACTAATGACAAATCAACTGATAGATGACAGATTCATAGATCAACTAGATTTAATAGCCATATATTATTTAATATATATTTTTTAAATTTTATGTTTGTAAAATAAAAATCTACTCCATTATTTTAGAAGTGAATTGTCTGGTGTTTTTAATCCCATCTGTACTCAGCCTGGTTTAAGCACAAACGAAAAATCAACCGGTAAAGGTTTTAACAGTGAAAGTTTTTAACTAAAAGTCTTTTTAAAGTAATAATCGTCGGTTAGTTTCTAGTTTTTGTTTAGAATTGTTTTGTTTTTTTTAATTTTTTTTAGAGTGTGCTAATTCATTTACTGAGGGAAAAAAGTTTCGATCGTGCACATTTGATAATACAAATGAAAGTGAAGTTATTACGAAGCTCAGATCAATCTCCATGAGGGAGTCAGACTTTTTTAATGAAACCGTCAGCGCTAGTAATCAAAACTCACCCTTAAAAACTGCAGAAAGTATTGATTCTAGCGACACAAATAAAGGAATTTATGAAGAAATAGATTTTTACTCTTCTGATAACGATGACGAGGATGATTATGAGGTGCAACGTACTGAGGAATTTAAACTACCTGACCCTAGAGAGGGCAATTCATATGCATTTAATCTTATTAGGGAGCTATTAAAAAATGACTTTGAAGAAAAGCAAGATATAATTGAAGAAAACCATGATATAATTCAAGAAACAAGTAATAGAAATGATAGTGCAATAACGTTATTAAAAGCATTTATTACTCAGCATAGTAATACTTAGATATTAACATCGTCATAGTTGCTCTTAGATATCAACGTCGTCATAGTATTACTTAGATTTTACCGTCGTCATAGTAATCATTAGCGTCGATTAGTTTGTGTCATTTTTTAAAAATCTATTTCTTGTAATTTTTTTTTAAATGATAATTTTATAAAATTATCTTTTATTTTACCTTTGTTCTTTTTTTAAACGTATTTTGCAATGTTTTTACAATACTTTTAAAGGAGTTTTATATATAGTAGATTCGTATAAAAAAAAAAAAAAAAAGCCTTCTCGACTGTAAAATAATGATTTTAAAATTAAGTGGTGACTATATTGTTTGGTACTGTAAGGAGCGTGTTCCACCAAAAAAACAATTAAGTTTTGATTTAAAAAATTATTGATTTCATTTAACCCCTTCCCCAACCCCTTCCCCCACCACCACCACCACCACACACACACACACACACACACACACACACACTCACTGACACCAACTCCCAAATTCGGTTCGATAAACAAATTTCAAAAATTAGTTTTCAAAAAATTTTCAAATTTATTGAAAACTATTTGAAAATATGAATGAAAATCGTGACAAACTAACAGTCGATATACTTATTATATCAAGCTGAAACTTATTATATCAAGCTGAAACTTACATATTATATTAAGCTGAAACCTACTTATTATATCAAGCTGAAAACAAGTTTGCATATTTTTCATGATAATATCAAAGCGGACGAGAGAAACGTGTGTTTGTATTCACCATACAATTCCAAATATTGGAAACAAACATCAAAAAGTTGATAAACGAATAGCCAATTTTACATAAAAAGTGATATGGTTAAAAGTCTAATCGAGTCCAACATGGCGATTTTATAGGTATTCCTAATATCTTTGGATCTGCAAATTAGTGAATCGACCTTATGTAATCAATTTAAAAAGTTATACAGAATGCGAAATTATTTGGTAAAAAAAATACAGCACAATGCAGTCAAAACATTGTTCTTTTGATTTCAAATAAAAAAAAAATGACGTTTTAGTCAAACCATGCAAACTAAATTTACTTTTAAGATAACCGATGTTCGCGGGTAGATTATCAACGTTCGGGGGCATTTAAAAATGCACAACAAAGATCAAAGAAGTTTTATTTATTTTTTTTTCCTATTTTATTAATAAAAAAGAAAAATAAAAGTTTTTCACCTTTTTTTTATGTAGACTTATAACTTACAATTTGAAAATTATCTTTTTTGGGGAAGGGGAGGGGGAATCAGATTTAGCAGAATGTTTTAAAAATCTCCGGTTCTGCGAAATTGTTTAGCTTTGAAAAATCAACCGAGAACAAACAGGCCATATGTTTTTATTAGGCCATATATATATGTTTTAACAGGCCGTATGTGATTATTAGAAATTTAAAATTTTTTTTTTTTTGTTGTGACCAGATTTAGTGGACACATGATCCACTCTTTTACAAATATTTTTTGATAAAAACCTGGACACACAGCCTCTTGGTTCTCAGCTGACAAATTGTATTGCGTATCCAAATTATTGAAAAAGTAAATACGGCTGCTGATCGAAATCTAAATTTTTACCATTCAATTAACTTTAAATAAAGCAAAACAAATGATAATCTGGTTGTGCTAGTTCAGTGTTTCCATTTGTTATTATTCTTTTTAAAAATAGATCGTTTTGGTTACAATTCAACTAATTGTAACCAAAACGGTCTAACCAAACGCATTAACATATGCGTTTGGTTTGGCCTAACCAAACGCAATAACATATGCTTTAACATATACGTATATATGTGACAGAAACATTCCTATTTTAAATGAGGAAAGAGCTAAAAAATATCTGTAGTAATAAGATCACACTTTTCCCAATTGTATCCTTCAATTTTTAAATAAATTTTTATTTAAACTGACGTTTTTACTACATTTTCATAATCTTTTTTGCGAAAAATTTAAATTAAGTAAAAAAAAAAGAAAGCTCGTTCAAATTTTCTGAAATTTAAAAAATATATATAAAATCAACCTCCCTTACAAAACATATCATGCAAAACAAAGTTAATTTTCAGAATGGCCAGCAAGCTATTAAAAAAAAGTATGGCAAGCATCAACTTCAACTTGCGTAAAAGTATGGCATGCATAAATTTTATTAATTGTAGTTTCGTTCCAGTATAATTACTTTGTTTGAATTAAACCAATAATATCTAAAAAAAAGTTTAAATTAATTAAAAATAATTAAAATGTAATTAGTACATAAATTAAGGTTTTTTTAATTATTCTTTATTAGGGCATATTCAAAATGTTTAGTAAAATATATTCTTGTCCTTTTTTTTCATTAAAATAAATTTTTGATGTTTGGGATATTTAGTAAATAAGATTAATAAATGTTTTAAAAGGTGGAAATAATCTCCTGTTTTCATTTCACAACTAAGTGATCACAAGGCCAAAAATACAAAATAAGTGAAAATTAGTGTAACTAGTTAAAAAAAAAGTTATCTTTTAAAAATATTATAACAATATCTGTTCAAAATAGCATAGTATAATAAATTACCCGATGGGAAATGAGCCAGCAAATAGCTAGCTTTATATCAATTTTGTTCATGTCTTTGCTTTATTTTATTTTTAACGTCTTAAAAAGTTTGATTTTTAGTATAGGATCTAATATATTTATTATAATAACTTAGCTTTTAGTATTGCGATTTAATTACAATATGTCCATATCTAAATACCGTAACATTTCAGCTAACGATTTTGTTACGATATATCGATAGCTAAATATGGTTATAATATATATATTGATATATATCGTAGCTATGTCCCTACTACTTTGTCACAATAGCTAGTACAAAGCCACAATTTTCTACTTACTAGGTAGCTGCAGCCATCTACATTACAGCGGTATGTATATACATCTCGTGGGTTTTTAGTTAAGAATTTTAAAACTATATTTCAATAGCTGCACATCATAGCTTTGTAGCTTGCTAAAACATAACTGCAAATCTATATGTTGTTGATATTGTTAGCTATAAAGCTTTTTAGCTATCGATACTACAAATTAACGTAGTTTATACTAAAACTATTATAATATTTACTTTATATATATATAAAAACTTTATGATATAAATATTTGCAAACATTAAATTGCAGTAACTATTCAAATCTGACCACAACACATGATAAATAAATTCTGAAACATCGAGTACAAGTAAACATAAACTAATTAATATAGTTTTTATTTACTTTTAATTTATGTTGCAGTAAAGTTAATTATTCGTTTTCCATTAAAAATAAGCAACAGATTTCAATAATTAAAGTCAAAAACACATATTTCAAAAATTATTAAATACACTTTATAATTTCAATAAAAAAGTTTCAAATGTTCTCAATTGGGTTTAGTCTGATATAGTCCATCAAATAAGCAAGCGTTTGACTGCTCGTTAAACTTTAAACCTGCCGGACACATAACACATCCTTGGGTAACACCCAACCAACAGCCAATATACTGATATGGATTTCCCGCTCCACCATTTGAAACGTTATCTGCAATGTTTCCAGAAAAGTTAGGTCCTTTATTAGGGCAAGCATCAGGACATGGATAAGTAGTTTGAGGCTTCCATAATTTTGTAGTGTAACAAGAATCTAAAAGATATTTTTGGAAAGTGATGGGAGTTATATTACTATATAAAATGTGTTTTCCAGGCCCGACAACACTGGGGGGGGGGGGGTGCAGAGATTTGTGCTCCCCGCCTTTTTTTTTTTAATTTGATATTGTGCCCCTCCACTTTAAAACCCATGTCGTCGGCCCTGTTTTCAGATTTCTTTTAAGTTATAGAAAAATTTAAGCAGTTTTGTTTTTACTTTTTTAATCTTTAGTAGCAGATAAGTTTATTTAAAACTCTAATATAAAAATATTACCTTCTTTTTTGTATAAGCATTGATTGCACGTTTGACTAAAAAATAAGTTTTGAGGCCAACAAGATTGGCAAGCAGCAATACCGTTGGAACATTGGACAAAATCGTGTGGGTATCCTGTGATCTCATAATTTCCATCAGAGACACCAAAGCAAAGACTTTGTGAACCTGTGTAAAAATTCAATTAAAAGTAACTATGCCGGCCTGTCTAAACAATTTAAATAAACAAAAAATTGAATCTGCATAAATTTCATAATAAAATATAATATAGTTATAGTTACATAGTGGCGCAACGGGTGTAGGCCCAAGCTTTGATGGCACAGCGTCTGAACTACTTTGTTCATCAACTGGTGCAACTGAAGTTGCTTCGGTGGTGCTATCACCTATTACTATTTCATTTGAGGTTGTTTCTGAGGATTTAGTGGTAGTTTGAATTACATCTGGAATTGATTCGGATGATGCAGTTGTGGTTTCATCTGCTCCTGGTATTGGTTCAGTAACGGTATCTGTTTCGGTAATATCAACTGCGCTTTGTGTCGTTGTAAGAGCATTTAGTTCTGAAATTTTATAATTGTATCAAATTAAAGTTAATCTAAAAAATTAATGTTGAATACATTGTGCAATATTTACAGCTTTTTAAAGGTTAAATTTTTTTGAAGAGGACTTTAAAAATTTTAATAAGGGTAGAAAAATTCAAAAAATATTAGGGAAACCTTTTTTACTTTTTTTATTCTGCAAAATTTTAGTTTTAGTTTTGCTAAAAACTTTAGAAGTTAAGATCTTGAAATTCTGTCGAAACCAAATAATTGCGATTTTTACAACTTCTCCTTAATTGATAGATTGTGATTTCAACAACCCCTTCTCAATTGATAGGGTTTTAATTTTTACATAGTCAGCACTTCAAAACAAAACAAAACAAAAAAAAAAATTAATTAAGATTGAATACCATTGATTAGTTTTGATTTATTGCAAGATAGTGCAAAAATAAAAACAGCATACATGCAAATTACAATAAAAATTGGTTATAAACCTGATTATAAGAGGCTCTGTCTAACCTGATAAATAACCTAAAACAAACGCTTGTTGAATTGCCGCAACTACCCATGTGGCACAGTACGTTTTTGAAACGTTTAAAAAACTTATTAAAACAAATATTAACGTTTTTTAAACGTTTTAAAAACGATCTGTGCGTACTGGTATTTATACATCATTAAAAAATAAAAAATAAAATTACCTGAGGACAAAACCAAAGTTAATAATATAAATAACATTATGTCTTTTTTTCGTTTTATTATATAGTGTCAACTGTATCTACTGTTTCGGTCAAAAGCCAGCTTCGTTATAAAACGTAAAAGGCGTTTTTTATACAAAGTAATGCATAACAATCGGCTTAAATTTGACTCATTTTTACTAAGTACGGAACTTCTTTAGAGATGAAAAGCCGACAGAGTAAATTTACTTATTTACATTAATTTGCGTTCTTCTAGTTGACATTCAATTCTAAATAATTAGAGACGCATAAATCCCCGGAATTCCTCCGACCAACTAAAATTTCTAAACACACAACCAATTACTATGATAATTAGGCATAATATAATCTCAACACAACTTTAAATTCATACGAGTCATAATAGCGCAGGGAATCAGATAATTTTCTATATTATTTATTTGCATAATTGTTATATAATAATATTTCTACGGTGTCCAGTTCTAGAGCCCAAATAAAAATCATATATTGTTTAAATTTAATTTCATTTACTGTTTTTGTAAAAGCACATATTATACGGATGGAAATATCTATCAGATATTTTCAAGCAAAAAAAAATTATAGTCATACTATTTTTATACATTTTGAAATAGAAAAAAAATAAATAAATAATAATATAATTTTATTATAAAAACATAATTTTTTGATGGCAAATATGCTTACCTAAAACCTTACAAAAGCTCTATTACATAAGTAGTTTACTAGTTTTTTCACAGTAATAAGATAATTAGGAAATAAAGAAAAAATATATATTTATTAAAGATAAAAATAAAAAGATCAAAAGAACTTAAAAAAAATTTATAATTCTTGAATTAAAGAAAAAATAATTGTTTAACTATATATTTGAATATTTGTTAGTAAAATGTAAACTTAACCAAACTTTTACAATCATATTTTTATAAATGCTTTGGAAAAAATTGCAGTGATTGATGCCTGGTAACAACAAAACCCAAAAGTGTGCCCCCAATCCTAAATATGAGAGAAATAAGTTAATAAGTTTTATAATATTGGTATTCTGAACTAAGCTTTTATTATTTGACAGGTTTAATAGTTTTTCTAATAATATAATAGTGTTTTAAAGTTATGCCCATGTAAAGTTAATGAACCTCTCATTATAGAGGCTTGAAAAATGGTTATAAACTTCGAACACTAAAACATTATTAGATAAAGTTTAAAATATATCAATAATAAGTTTAGAATAGTATTTGTATAAAACTCAGTACCATTTCAAATATGCAACTTGGGTAGGTGACATAAGTTTTAAGGTTTTTGTTGTCCCAATCTTCCAATCACTGGAATATTTTGTTGATTTTTTTCTTTTATCTAAGTATTTTAGAAAGTTTAAAACTTATAAAGAATAAAAAACTTTATCGATTTTAAATAATGATATTTTTTATTGACACTATTGTCAAATAAATGATTTAATTTGACAAACACAGAATTCAGCAACATCCATTAGATCAAAACAGTCAATTAAAGTTGCTGAAGCTAATAAAATATTTCATTTTTTCATAAAAATATGCATTTTAGGATAAAAGAAGTGACGTAGAAATGGCGACTCAAGTTCGTATTCAAAAGTTGTTAAAAGTAAATTATATAGTGATTGTATCCTCAAAATGCTCAAAAGTAAGCAATAACCAGAAAAGCATAATTTTGGGTTAATTAAAAAAAAAAAAAAAATTATAGTTTAGAATGGAAGTTGATAAGGAATGGTCTAAAAATAATTAGACTGGGTAGATCTAACGTTTATCACTTGTTTATCACTCCTAAACACAAAATCTAATTTAGATTTTATGTTAAGAAGTTTGATATAGATTTGAAAAAAAAGTAAGGATAGTAAAAAACATATAAAAAAAAATTATATGCAATTAAATTTTATTTATATATATATTTAACAAAGTTGCCCTTTCATGCTTGATAGTGCAGTATTTTAGAGCCTTCTTAACATACCTTAACTAGACAAACTGACTTAAAAGTTATTATTAAAACTAATTGTTTATCAAAAATCCAATATAAAATATCAACATTTAAGTAGTGTCAGATTTTTGTAAAAATCTAAGAAAAAAACAGCATATGTTTATATATTTTTTAAGCTTTCGGTCCCAGTAAAAATATTTCCTGTCCCCTAACAACTTTTTGCAGTGCATTGCTTAACCATTCTAACCCTCTAATTTTTATCTAATAGATGTTTTGTCTTCCGGTGTTTAGTTTTTGAGATATTTTACTTATCCAGTATGACTCTATTTGAGCTTGACTAGTCCCACCCTACCCTACTTTTTTAGATTGAATGTAAAAAAGTTTGGAACTATAACAGCAAAAGATAACTTGACAGGATTTTTTACCCTTGCATAGCTTAACTGATTTTAGCTGTTTTGATCGTATTTCAAATTTTTTAGTTAAAGTATATTACTTTTTTTAATACTATTTTATATATATATATTATTCATTTTAATACAATTACAGTTATAATATTTTTTTGTCGTTTATTTTAACTGAAAACTGTCAATTATGTATTTTTGTCTTTTATTTTTTTGTTTGTGTATTATGGTTTTTATTTGTAGGATATTGCAGTTTATCTTTCTCTAGCAGCTGTTTTGCAGAGGAAGTTCGTCAAGCGGTAAACATCAAAATAATTTCAAATTGTTGTGGTACTAAGCAACAGACAATTAAAAGAAAAATTAAAGAACAAACAAGTTTCACAGAACAAATTATTTTTTAATAAAACATCAATAATTTTGTATTTTATGAGTATATCACATGCTTATAAAAAATACCATCAATAATTAAGTAAAATTTTCTATTAAATAAAAGAATACACGAATTCAATTTGCTTCCGTTGTTTTAAATCATTACACGATATATACGATAATCATTACACGATATTTGATTAGACTGAACTATTAGTCTCGTCTTCCGTGGATTTTGGTATGTGGCTTGAAGTCTGGCAATCGGCCGGATATAGGGTAAACCACAAAACCAATAAAATTAAAGTATACTGTTATAATTATAAGATAACTTTAAATAAAATAAAATAATAAAAAGTTTAAAAAACATGTCGCGACGTTAGAATTATCTTGTGCTATCTCCATGTTTTTGCAAACTGAGAAAATCGATGTCAAAGTTTGAATTTGTTCGCAGCTAAATTGAAAAAATATTTTGAGAATTTAGGTATTTCCTAAGATTTAAAAATGTTTTATTATTAATTTTTAGATAAAAAAAACTTTTTAAAATTACGCTAACGCCCTTTTTTTCGCACCCTCTTTTGGAGATAGAACAAAATAACTTTGGTTTTTAGTAAAATTCAAAAATATTATGTTGTTACATCATATATATTAAACATATTAAGTACATTTTTCAACAACGACATGTTAGAAATTGATGAAATTTTGTTCTACCTGCTAATTATTCTTACACAGTACCATACACTCCTAATTTATGGGCATGGGCCCCTAAATTAGGGGCATGGGCCCCTAATTTAACGGGACCCTTTTCAAAATATAAGACGCTTTATGTATTACCTAAAAAATTACGTTTTTTTAAATAAAATGAGGCCCCAATTAGGAGAACTTTTAGAAGAGCCTCTAACGACACTGTTCTTACGACTTACATTTACTTTAATTACCTGTAGGCGCCGGCCCTGGACAAGACTAAGACGTCTAATTTAAAACGGAAAATTTGGCTGCGTAATAATAATATAAACGTATTAATATAATATAAACGTATTAATATAATATAAACGTATAAAATAAATTATGAAAAGTATATAGGAAAGAGTTATGTTAAAAAAAATGTAATAATAAAATAAATAACATTATGTAACTATCTGATAATTCACAACAATTCAACTAATCTAATCACAAACTCCATGCAAGATGAACTTGATTTTATTGTTCTTATGCCTGTGTATCCATTAATAGAGTTTAACTTTTTATTAAAAGTTATTGCAAATATTTACAAATAAAAAATTGTTACTCAAGTTAACGTCAGGAAGGGCATCAGGTTGTGAAACATTGCTTTAACTCTTTCATAGTGGCCTTTATGTCACTATGGAAAACCATCCAAACCAAACAAGTGGGGGAAAATGAATATAAAAGTACAAAAAAACAAACAAAAAAAACACAAGCTAAACAAAATTTTTTATCAAGATTTCAAAATAATATTATTTCAATGTGTTTTATATTTATATTTATACTAAATAAATATTTTATTTAAATATGTTATTTATATGTATATTATTTATATTATTATATATATATAAATATGTTATTTATATTTATACTAAACATATAACAACTCTAAAAATATTTTGACTTTATTAATGTTTTGTAAATGTTCAACTTATTATTGTTTTATAAAATGCAATATCAACAGCAGGCATGTATGAATACATGGAAATGATATCATTGGCTTTTGCAACAGATATAGACTGATAAGAAGCACGAAAGCAAGCTGCCATTGGTATATTGGTATTTAATGGTTTTGCAACAATGGTTGATGCTGCTTTCTTGACAGACTTATTTATACGAGCTTGTGAATAATTATCTGAAAACGAGGTTTTAAAAAAAACATGGTATGGCAGTCCGTTTCGATAAACAAGATTTTTAACCTTTGAATAAGGCACTAACTTTTAACTTGACAAACCAGCGACAACTGAAAAATTCTTTACATCTCCTAATTGCATTTGGTAAACACAGAAAGGTTTTTTACGGTTTACATTTTTAATAGCTCTTTCTAGCCCAAGTGGACTAAATATTTCTGCAGCAGAGAGGGATTTTTCAATCTGACTATGAATGTTGTCACATTCTTGAATGCTGGAATGACCTGGCTCGCAGAACTTCTGTTCAATTACTTTTATTTGTGGGTATCGTATTATAAATTCACACAAAGCTGCTGACATGAAACTATTGCGGTTTTGTGGTACACATGAATCGAACCAAAGTATGAACTTATTTATGTCAAGGTCAGCCATGATTTTCAAAAGCAAACATGTTACAGCACTGGCTAGATCATTTCCTCCACGACCAGTCATGGCTTCGTGCCAAAGGATGCAATAACCCTTCCTGTTAAGCGAGCAATGACCAGTTAAGTTATAATTTGAAAGTTTTCGTTTGTAATAAAAGTTTCCCACATTAGCTCTAGGCAAATTTAAAACATTTTCAAGGTCAATACAAGCAATTGCAGTTTTAGAATCAACATTTTGGCGATCATTT